AAGTAGTAATGTTTCTGGCACTGTAGCCTTACTAGGTCTCTTTCTATCTGCAGGGCTCTGAATCCAACACCATGAAAAGTCCCAATTCAGACAGCAACGGTGAGTCTCTTGCAACCATACTTGCATACAAATCATGAGTAATTTTCTACTTGTTAGTAATCTAAGTTTAACTGTATTTTGACACAATAGTGCTTTGACTGATGCTTTATTTAATGACTAAACTCAGTGTTTTATCAAATACATGCACTGTTAGTCACTTGGAAGTCAGCGCCCTCTAGAGATAGTTTTGTTGAAAACGCCAACACTGTTCTCTCATTTTACAGGCTCCGTTATAAGTCCTGAACAAAACCAGCCTAAAACTGTTAGGGTGAGTATTCAATCAATATTAGCTTTTATTTTTATCTTTTAGATTAGTGACGTTTATTTTTATCTCTGTATTTTTTTTCTAAAACATTTGTATGGGTGTTTGTGCCCTTGTAGATGTTCTGTTTGCCTGTCCGTGAAACCTGCATCATGTGCCTTAAGACCGTGTACCCGCTAGAGAAACTTGTAGCGAATCAGCAGATTTACCACAACACCTGCTTCCGCTGTGCCTACTGCAACACTAAACTCAGGTGAGGACAAGAGTCTCTACCATGGCCCTGATCCTATACTGAAACACTTGATGTGGACAGTAGTAGGCACAAGACTGTAGGGTGTCTCATTTGTCAGTTTATGATCATAAGTTTGCTCACCCCATGCATAGCCAGTGTTACTTTTGCTGTTTTTGTCCACTGACAAAAATCTATTCTTAGTCAGTATTTTGTCATATTCATTTTAGTCATATTTTTTACTTTTTTTTTTAATGGTATCTAATTTGACTGTTTTTAAACTGTTGTCTATTTTATGTATTACACATAAAAATGTTGAAAACGGTCTTCTGAAATAACATTGAGTACACTACTTAAATACAATATTGTGAATTCTTTATGGATTGAACTTAAGTTAAACTAAACTTCAAACTTAACTTAAATTCACTTGTGCATTCTCGTCAATGTAGGTTATGTTTATGTTGAATATGTATAGAATGCCTTGGGGTTAGTTATTTAACAGGTTAACGAAGTGTTTCACTTTACTGTTTTTTTTTTTAGTCAATTTTTTGTATATAAACTACTAAATTATTTGAAACGATCATATTGGCCATGTCCACAGCAGCAGAATACGGTTGTCAGTTCTGTATTTCAGTGCTTCTAATACGTTCACACACGTCGATTATTTACAAAAATGACAACCTGATTCGGTCCCCGAACTCGTACTAGTACATTTTCAAGTCGCACAACCAAAATTTCGGCAAAACTCTGCTGTCTGAACTGTACTGGACTAGCTGTCTGTCACTACGAGAACGACACATCTAGTGTCCATATTTCATGTGTAGTTCCGGTAACTTACAGAGATGGAGATATGAGCAGGGCCGGATTTACGCATAGGCATTCTAGGTACATGCCTATGCTCGCTCGTCCAGGGGGGCCCAAACACAATGAAGAGATATATAATATTTTTGTTATACTATGGGCTATCTACAACAATAAAAGAAGACATTGAGCAAATAAATATGACAAACCATAGGGTAAAAAATAACAAGCTATTTCTATGTTTTCCAACTTTTTTTAATGTACGGAAATCACGATTTCGCCCGTTCTCTCTCACAGACTCACACACAGTAGCCTACAGACAAGCACTCGCGCACACACGCGGACAGAAACTTGTTGTCAGAGTTGCGGCTGCCCCGCGAATTTCAGTAAAATAGTTTCGCAGCTGAAAATCTACATGACATTTCTCAGTAGCAAGGTTCTTGAAGCAGTTCAACTTAAAGATTCACTATTAGTAGACGCAGATATTCACACACGCTTAATCTCTCTCTCTCTCTAATAACTGCGTTAGACTGCATTAATAACTGGGTGGTAATATTATATAGGCCAATTAATATGGAAGGGGGGCCTAAAATATTGTTTTGCCTATGTCACGATAAGTAGGCTAAATTCGGCCCTGGATATGAGCCTTTTATAATTTGAAGGTTTCAAATCCAGTCACTGTCGACGTCCACAGGAGTGGCTCCTGCAAGTTTTGTGTTATTATATTTATAGAATGAATTGAATAGCCAGCTAGAAAAGCGATTAAATTCACTGGCGTTAGTTAAATCGCTAGTTGCTCCCACCAGTTTTTTGATTTGCGAGTGCGCAGGACTCAAACTCTCCGCTCTTCAGTCAGAAAAAAAAAACTCATCGGTTAATTCAAATTTGACTAACTAATCATGTCAGCTGTGATAAACTTTAACAAACAAGTTATAGGCCTACTTATTGAATCTTCGATGTTTACTATGGTTACACAAGTGACATTAGCGCGAGAATAAAAAAGGTTGGGAGGTTTTGTCACAAATTTAGCCAATCTGAATAGATTTATTTTCTTTTTCTGTTGGAAAAAGTTAGTGCATGTCGTGGCATTTTTCCTGTCATATTTTCATACTCTCAACTTTTTTTCTTAAAATGTTTTTTTGTCATTGTCGTGATGCACCGTTTTTCGTCTTGTCTGCGTTATTTCTGACTAAATTAAACAACTTTTTGTGAGTAAAAAGATCAAGGGTGCCTTTTAGAACAGGACTTGTGTATTTAATTGATGTTAAAGTTGGTTTGTTTCTAATCTCTCACTCTGTTTTGCTGCCCACTTTTGGTCAGTCTGGTGAACTACGCCTCTTTGCACAACAACGTCTACTGCAAGCCGCACTTCTGCCAGCTGTTTAAAGCCAAGGGCAACTATGATGAGGGTTTTGGCCACCGACCCCACAAAGAGCTTTGGGAGGTGCGAGGAGAAGGAGCTGAGGAGCAAGTGAAGCTGTCTCCTCAAGAAACCACCTCCAGCCCAACAGTAGAGGAGTCTCCATTGGTAAAAGTTAACATGCTTGCCGCCACTTTAGAGACCCGAACCCAGGCCAACTCTGAGAGGATGGAGAAGCCACTGGAGACGGGACGACTCAAGATCTCCTGGCCTCCGCAGTCAGAAGGGGATGAGAGCGCAACCCATGTGTGTGGATCTGCAGAAGGCAGTGGCATCAAACCCATCCGCCCAAAATGGCCTCCAGAGGGCGACGTAGTATCAAGCAACTCAGACCAATCTGATCTCCCAAAGATTCGCAGGAGCGTCTCACTCAAGGAGAGAAGCAAGCCGTTTTCCATCTTCAGCTCTGCGCCAGTCACTCAACCCAGCAAGATTTGCCAAAGATCTCCTTCAACTGAGAAGCCAAGCTCGGAGGAGGTAATGTCACCCGTTTCTTCCACCACCGACACGGTGATCTCTTCCGAGGACATGACCGAACACAACCAATCAGAAGAGGAGGAACAAGGTGAAACCAAGGAGGAACACGATGAGGAAAAGATGGAACAGGAGGAGAAAGTGGAAGCACGAGAAGGGGAACTGTCCTCTCTAAAATGCAGCTCACCAGACAACAGTCCTTCATCGTCGCCTGAGAGCGAGTCTGGGTTGGATCCCGAGGAGAACCAAGCCTCACAAGATGTGGGTTTTTGGGATGGAGAAGAAGCTGAGGAAGACAGAGCTGATGTCTCTGTGGAGGACCTCATTAAGAGGAACCGTCGTTATTACGATGAGGACGAGGAGGATGTGGTCTGAGTGATAGATTAGTTGTCCATGAACTTTCATTTCCCAGAAGCACCAGCGTATTTTCATGTAGTCTCCGTTTGTGGGTCTTTGTCTGTCTTTTGTGCAATTTCTAAATGTTTTCAGCTTATACATGTGCCTATAAATGTAAACGAACTAAAAACCAAGTAGTTGGCAGGTTATTCATAAGGTTTCTCTAGTCTAGATGATACACTAGAGCTCTTACGGTCTCTTCAAGCCTAGTTTTATGAAATTTTAATTCGTTTGGTACTTTTTCTATGTTTTGTATATTAATAGGCTGGGATATTTTATTCAGCTGCTGATCAATTTCAGAAAATTATTTCTGAACAATTAAAAAAAAAATGGAATTTGATTATTAGGCCAATCTTAGTGTTCAATTTAAGCACCCATCTTTTTATTTTTTTTATTTCACACAAGTGGTCTATCACAAATGTAATGCACTTGGATGTACTTTAAAGGTTAAACACCCCCGGCTGTATCACATTTGATAGGATTGGCAACCTTTGAATGTTTTAGCTTATTGCTAAATTGTATTTAACTATTTTAAATGTCACCTTTTTATCATGGGACCAAATATCTTGGAATACTTTTGTTTCAAATAAATTTACTACTACAAAATCTGGAGTGAGAGTATTATTTTTCTACAGAGGTACTTATCTTTTTTTTTTTCCCCAGCCAAGTGAGCATGAAACAAACTTTCATTTAAAAAAAAATAAAGTATTTAAAGTATGGCGTTTATTTTTGGCCGTAACTGTAACCAATGGGAAAATCCGTTAATAATTGATCAGTTGCTCAATAAGACTCACTACAAAACTGCAAACAAGCTAGTAATTTTGATATGAGATTAATATATAAAAATCACTAACATGCAATTGTTTGGGAAAAGGATATGATATACCAAGAATAAATGCATAATAATTGGTAACTTGGGTTTCTTTTAATGCAATAACACTTTGAAATCTGCAGTTTTATAATTAGACTCCGTTACCTATTCAAAAATTAGTGTTTTCCCACTGGTCACAGTTTGATAACTTAACATTTTTTCTGTCCTGCTATCATTATTAGTTTGAGCGAGAGCAATCTCATTTACACATAACAGCAGTTTAAATATTATTTGTATGAATATGGTAGCTGTATCTATTTTGAGCTGAGACAGACATTATCAGTGGGGGAAAACCTCAATTTCAATGTCTCTGGTCATGAAACTTTACACCATCCAAGTAAAAATGTTCACACAAAACCAAAACGGTCTCCAATTCATTTCTAGTTGACAATACATAAAATACATCAACTTCTTTATACCCTTCAAACAGACAGGATTCAGTTTTTTTTTTTAAAAATAGCATCCCTGGAGGTATAAAAGGAATTTGACTGCAATCCCAAGTACAGTTTGTGTGGAAATAACCATTTCTTTATTATGTACACATTAGCAAAAGAGTGCATGCTACAATTAGAGCAACACGTCAACATCTTCAACACAAGTCTCCATTTAGTAAGAAGACTGTGTGAAAGCAAAACGATCATCGCCCATTTATGCGCCAAGCAACCACATTCCAGTGGAGGAATTCAGATGATCTTGGAGAGGACAACCGCTTGGCTTTTTGCATAAGCTTAACTGATAGAGGTATTTGGTTTTGGCTTCCCTGTGCTGTCAATTTATGTCTGGAACACAAGCAATTCTTTATGTTCAATGATCTGATCTGGAATATTCATTTCACCACTAAATGGAAAGTCTTTAGTACACGGTGACACCCATTCTTCTCTTTAGAATGACCATTTTTCTCATCAGTTCTCATTTAATGTATTTTAGGTAGCAGAAAATAGTCTATGATAAACACGCAGGGTGTTATAAATCACTGCGGAACTTTCAGATGAATAAATCAAAGCTCCTTATTCAATGATGCAGGTGCTTCGAAACCCCATGCATCCCGTCAAATACGACTATGGCTATATTCAGAACAGCATACCATACTTATTATTTCTGCAGTATACCGTGCATAGCATTAACATTTACGCATAGAAATGCCAAAATGTGCATAGTGCAGTAGCATTTCCCACAATGCATTGCACTTAGCATGATCTTCCAATTCCAGAATGGTCATTGAACACTAACTTACTTTATACGATCGTACTGCTATTTTAAAACAAGTTATATTTTGATCCAATTTTGATGATGCGGTGAGGTTATGTGACAACAATATAAGTTATCTTTGAATTTTGTACGGAAGCCCGATTCCGCCAAGGGGAAGATTTTTTTTTTTTTTTAACTTTTTCTCACTATTAGGGAAAAAAAACTTTTGAACGCTGACTTTCTCCCACAGAATTCTAACTTCTCGCAATTCTGTTTTTCGCCATGGAATTACATTTTTTTTTTATCTCACAATACAGACTTTTTTCCTCACAATTTTAAGTTTGCAATTACATCTCACAAAGTTTGATTTTTTTGCTCCTGCCACAGAATTAAAAATGAATGAGGTAATTCCAACTTTTTTATCTCCCAATTTGGACTTTATCGAATTGTGAGTTTCTATTCCGCAATAGAAAAAAAAAAAAAAAGAATTGTAAGATACAAACTTTTTGTGAGAAAAAAGTCTGAATTGTTAGATAAAAAGTCAATGACCCTTTTTATTTAATCCCATGGCCAAAACAAGCTTCCAATATTTTGCACTTTCTCAAATTCTTAAAAAAATTTAGACATACAGTATACGCTGTGCAGTATGCAGTAAGCTAGTATCTCATTCTGAACATAACCAACATCCTGAGATTCAACTAGGATTTAACTTAAGAAACTAAATTATGGCAATATAGAGAAAAATTTTATATCATTCAAACTTTGTTGAAAGGGACAAAATTCGACATTAAATTTGGCAAAGAATGTAATATGTGATATGTAACAGGACAGAAGAGGAAGGGCATTATTGCAACAGCGAGGTGTGCAAAATGGCATCTGTTGAGAAGTCTAGAGCGCAGCATCACAGCCGCTTGCCCATCGGACTATCAGCTTAAGTTGAGGCGTCTCTAAAGTGCTTGTAGCATTTGTGAACCAGACTAGCTCACATTACAGTGGACAATTCCTGAATAAACAGCTCCATGTTTTCCGACTCCAATGTGGCGTCTGCCCTGAAATATCTGATAAAATGTCCACAAGCTGATGTAAAAAAATCTACATTCACAGAAAAGCCTGAACTAAATAAGCATAACTGGTTTAAGACGCATTCATGAACAAATAAACATGAAGTAGCCGATTCGGTGTGTTGCTCTCTCATCATGCGTTTCCTGATGACGGATGAGAGTGTACGATACACAACAGGAGACAATACAACTCGCCTCCGCTGACGTCACAATTAGCAGTTACTCCATGCTATCCACTGGCAAACACCTTCCCCTCAACCGCTCATTTTCAGATAGAAATAATAGCGAAAAATGGCACGAATCACAATAAGAAAAATAACCGTAATATGCTTTCATCACCTTCACAAGTCATTTGTGAGAGGGAGTGCTTGTGGAAAACGCTGAAGTTATTTTTAACATTATTATATGTATTTATCATTTATTAATAATTATTAACACCCACATGCCATATCTTTGTCTCTAGGGTGTCTAGTTGTTTATTAATATCATGATTGATTTTGCTAAATAAATGTTTGTGTAGCAGCCAATACGTAAATTTACATATGTACATGTACATAAAAAATATATAATTTAATATTTTCTACGCATTTTCAATAAACAAAACGTATCTTTTTTTCGGTCAACCGGTCTTTTGAGGCCCAATATTAACCATTTGATGCCACAAACCCCTCTATATGTGGTTTGAAGCTGAGGTGATCGCTGTAGAAGAAACATGCACTGGAGTGTTAGACGTGTTAAACTTGCATTTTGAAGTGCCTTGAAATATCAAAAAGATGAGAGAAATCTCAGCATAAATTTTTGGGGCTTTTCCATCCGCTTGTGGCTTGGAGATGTGGAGTTCCTCGTTTATTATCCGCTGAGAGGATGGAGGTCCACCTTCACCTTTTCTCCGCTGCTGAGCATCCCGATAGTGGGGTAAAACCCTCCGGCCGGGACAACCACTTCCCTCCTGCCGATAATCTTGCCGTTCCGGGTGAAGAACACCTAGATGAGCACAGAGGGGCGACAGTGAGTCAGCATTTCAACAGCTGGAGAGGGAAGAGAGTGAGTCAGCATTTCCATAGCTACAGGGCTGAGACTGGGCGTCTGACGGTCTTGCTACACGCTAGTTCCAAAACTCTTCGGGACACATGATGAGGACAAGAAAACACTTGGCAAACATCTGTTTTTGAGCACTGAGGGTATTCGGTGTTCTTTTAGAACTAAAAAGCCTTTCCAGGCGACTGACTGAAATATCGCCGAGCAAATTCATCTTGTCCGCATCTGGGATATCCTGTACCCTCAAGAAGACGGCTCTTATGAAATATCGAGCTTATTCATATTGTTGCATAAGTGTGGAAGCGAGCATCTTAACTCTCACCCAGTGGGCAAAAACGACCAGCACTGTGGTTAAGCCATCGTGTCGAGTCGACAGTCAGAAACTCGCTGATTATTACAGTCGCGCAGTGCAATTTTTGGCATGGAAGGCTCTTGATAGTGTAACGTCCCACTGGGAGACCTCAATGCATTAATCTTCTGCAAGCTTAAAACATTTGACTTGATGAATGACCAACTCCAACCGGCTTTAAAACAACAAATAACGATGATTCGTTTGTTTAGCTGTCAGAACTGAGGCTTTAAGCACTTCAGTAGAAGTAACAATTTATTTTGTGGCCTAAAAAGTCATTAAGTTAGGAGACATACATACATACATACATTAACAAACACACATTAAACTATTACATTAAAATATATGCACACAGTACAGGTCAAAAGTTAGAAATAAATATGATGTTTAATGTTTTCGGGAAAAAAGTCTCTTTTGCTCACCAAGGCTACATTTATTTGATTAAAAACCCTGGGAAAGTAATATTATGAAATATTATTACAATTATTGGTTTTCTATTTCAAAATATTTAAATGTAATTTATTCCTGTTATGTTAAAGGGTTAGTTCACCCAAAAATTCTGTTATTAATTACTCACCCAGCAAGGAGATCGGTAAATTAATCCATGTGACATCAGGGGTTCAACCATAATTTTACGAAGCTACGAGAATACTTTTTTTGCGCGAAAGAAAAAAAATAACGACTTTATTCAACAATTCGTCACCCTCCGCGCCATTTTGGATAGTATCCACTGAACGTAAATTGTATATGCTGTTTTGTGTCAGCTGCGCCACGCGGATACATTGTTTTCGTTCAAATCAAAGCGTACGTACAACGTATACGCGTGGCGCAGCTGACACATACGCCATTTATGTTCAGTGGATATTCTCCAAAATGGCACTAAAGGGTGACGCGGAGGAGACAAATTTGAATAAAGTCGTTTTTTTTTTCTTTTGCGCAAAAAAAGTATTCTCGTAGCTTCGTAAAATTACGGTTGAACCCCTGATGTCACATGGATTATTTTAACGATGTCCTTGCTACGTTTCTGGACCTTGATCGTGTAAGGATCCTTGCTGTCTATGGGAGGGTCAGACAGCTCTCAGAATTCATCAAAATATCTGAATTTGTGTTCTGAAGATGAACAGAGGTCTTACGGGTTTGGAACGACATGAGGGTGAGTAATTAATGACAATTTTTGGGTGAACTATCCCTTTAAATCTGAATCTGCCTTTACAATAAATCAAATTGTTTATATCATAAAAACATTTTTTTAAATACTCACCATAACCTTTCGGCCCTCATGTTCTTGTTCTGGATCATCTCCCTCTTCCTCGTCTTCATCGTTCAAATACAGTAAATTTTCGACACGCCCCTGCTTTGGTTGTACATCAGCAGCATCCCAGTCGTCCATTTCATCTGACAGAGAAACCAATTGAGCTGGATGCACATCTAAAAACGTGGACTACAGTCCTGAGAAGCATGCTAAATTGATCAAAGTATGTATTTTCAAGTATGCATTGGCAGTAATGTGAACAAAATGGAAAATTTCTGCACCCTATACGTGTTCTTACCTTCATAGTCCAGCACATAGTCCCGAGGAAACATTATTCCACAGCCCATGATGTCCCCTTCAAAACAGCGAGGGCCAAACTGGTCTCCTACTCCACTTCCATGGAAGATCTTCCCATCATCTATGAGCAGATATGATGGGCAGTTCAAATGCAGCTACATTCATTAATAAACCACGATTTTACATCAAAATGTATATGCAAATTAACTCGACATATATCCTGGCCATTCATACACTGAAAAATTGAGGAACAACTCTTAAGGTCAATCAGAAAAAACTGTACTAGTGTGTATATTTACACTACCATCCAAGAGTTTGGAGCTGGTACATTTTTAAAGAAATAAATACTTGTATTCAGCATGAATGCATTAAATTGATCAAAAGAAGACATTTAAAATGTTTAAAAAAAGATTTCTATTTAAAATGAATGCTGCTCTTTATATCTTTTTATTCATCATAAAGTCCTGGAAAAATGTATTATGGTTTCTAAAAAAAAATATGAAGCAGCACAACTGTGTTCTACATTAATTAGAAATGTTTTTTGAGCCACAAATCAGCATATTAGAATTATTTCTGGAGGCTCATGTGACACTGAAGACTGGAGTCATAATGCTGAAAATTCAGCTTTGCATCACAGGAATAAATAATGTGTTAAAATATAATAAAATACAAAACAGTTATTTTAATTTGTAATATTTCATAATGTTTCTGTTTTTGTTGGATTTTCACTGCCTCGGTGAGCATAATACAGATAGCCACGCAGTGTGAAAACAACGGCGATACGACGAGTTTGAAAATCGTGCAGTGTGAACTCGGCATAAGTGACTTCTTTCAAAAAAACTAAAAAAAAACTTAAATAAAAACTCATACCAACCCCAAACGTTTGAACGGTAGTGTACCATGCGTAAAGTACAGTTATAGTTATCATATTTGGAAAATGCTCCGTAACCTATTTTTTCACATGTAACACAAATTAATGAAACAAAAAACACCAAAAGTACCATGGTATTACCATATGGGGTAACGGAGTCTGATCAAGCTGATGCCTTTAAACATTTTTACATGGCTTCAAATCTACATAAATACAATAATACAAAAAAGCATATTTTGTGTATCTTTGATTTTTCATCTTTTCGTACAGAAAATCCCTGTTAAACAGGTATCATTATGGTCACATGGAGGTATGGAGGTGCTCTATTAATTTAAGCGCTACCTCCACCTGAAACGTCATCTGCTGGTGTCGCTGTTGGACAGTACCACCATAGGCAAAATGAGTGATTTACACAGTGTTTGATTTCATATTTCATAATATTTGTTTCTGTATCTCGTCTCATTATCTTTTTAAAGGCTGACCCCTTTACACTCAATGATGGAGGTGAAAACTAATCATCTGAATGAATTTTAGGACATAAAAGAAGAAATGCGAAAGTTAGTGCTTTGCATCAGAGCGCTGTCAAGACCTGACGTGAACCTAAGCGCTAATGCTGCATTCCTCACACATTTGCTCTTAATGATCCAGAGAAGTCTTATAGTCTTCATCCAGAAACTGACAGGATGAACGGAGATGTGCTTTCATGCCTCTGTACGTTTCTTTCTTCTAAGTTGAAGTTCTCCTTATATAAGAAGATAACAAAACAAAGAGACAACAACAATCAAGAGCAAGTGAAAGAAAAACACGGAAAGGTAGCCTGCAGACAAAAAACCCTCTTGCAGTGTGTGGCTGGTAAATATTTGTGGAGTTGTCATGGGACCCGTTCCCAGCTCAGGATACTGTTTAAACAATCCCTATCTCAACATGCGGAGGGAGATGAAGACACTGTATCATTATGATTCCCATGTGGGCCTCTGTCCCAACACCACACTCTGCAAACACCGCGACCGCTGTGGGAGAGGAAGGCGACTAAAAATAGAGCCTGCTGGAGAGCTTTTAGGCCCTCTGGCACCCGAGCCGACAGGAAACGGTACACCGGAGTGCAGAGAGGGCTTTCCTCGAATGTCAGAGCTGTTCTCTGGAAAAGACCGGGAACGTAGACTCACTTCCGCAAACAAGAAGGGCGCTTTATGAGCCTGGCGGCTAAGAACGGAAAAACGATTTGCTTGTTTGTGCCATCAACATTTTCAAGTAACCTTAACGGGGAAGGGTCACGTACCCCGCTAAAACGAAGGGAACAAGACTGAAAATAGTGATTTGGGGTGAAGCGACTCTCTGCCAACTATTTCGACCCACTTGGCACAGTCAGCGGATGAATTAAAGCAGGACTGGGGATTGTATGCTTGTTCCAAACTCCAAATAAATTCATCACCCTGACTTCCAGCATTATTTCTTCATCAAAATGAGATACGAATAGCCCCGCTGTCATTGGATGTGATTCGTGTGAGGATGCCGACCCCCAGAGCGACATATCAGCGGCTATAACATGTCTCTACGTGATGACTAACAGGATTATGAGTCATAGATGTGGGCCTCTTATAGATCAGGGCAGGACAATGAGTCATGCCCCCCTGATCTGACCCGCTTCTGTGCCAATGGCAGACCTCCATCAGCGGGTGCCGCAATGAGGCGCAGAAAAGACATGCCCCATAAATGCAGCTCCGCAAAAGCTGACAAGAGAGCCTGACACTCCTCGAGGTGCCAAAGACAAACTGCATCGCCCTGATGAGAGCGATGATGTGACGGAATTTTTCATACTCGAGAAGAACACAAGGCCTGGGTGAATTCACTAGCAAATAAACAAACTTCCATCACTTCTGGAGATGCACTGGTACGAAAATTTGCTTCGATGCAATAATTACTGTCATGTTATGATCAGTAACATAATATAAATATATTTGGAAATATATAAATTCATAAATTAAAGGGAAAAAATTTGATTTATGAAGAAATGTTAAAATGATTTATTTACTACGATTGGATATAAAATATTATATCTTATCTATCTTTCTATCTATCTAAAAAAAAATTTATATATATTTTATATTTTGAAATGTATATAAACTCGTAAATTAAAGGGGAATTTTAAAATGAATTAGAATTTTTATGCATTTTAAAAAAGCAAATATAAAGATTTAACATATATAACATACACATTAATTAATAAATATTTATATTTTTTCTATATATTTCAATATTTATATGCAATATACAGTACAGTATTTTGACATTTGTATATTTAATGGAAATTGATTTTTTTCCCCATTAATTCATGAATATACACACACATAAATATTATTTTAAAATAATTCATTCATTTTAAATGCAAATTTAGGCATCATGACAATGTACACTATGACAATTTTATATTTATTTAGAGATTTCCAAAATATTATATTTAACATTGTTATTAAATTATTAGTGTTTTTAAGATTAAATATTAAGTGAGTCTTAAATGACAACAAATGTAATCTAAAAGTAAAAATAATGAAGAAATAATAATGCGCAATTATCAAATATAGGTTGATATAAATAACTAATATGGTACAGGTGTGTATCATGCATCCCTAATCACCTAGTGGAATCATGATGTCCAATTTATGCTCACTCTGAATTGTGAAGTGCTTAAAGTCTGGTAGTCTTGTAGTGGAGTTGAGAAGTCTCATGGAAAACACAAATCTATCAATGTCTGGGCTATCAAACAAGATTAATGAGAGTACATTTTTATAGCATCTCCACTGTTCCAGCTAAAACCAAAGAACCCAAATAACCCACTAAAGGTAGTAACAGATGTAAATATGTATATATATATATATATATAAATCAGATCCGTCACCGTTTATCTGGCTCACAGGCAAAATCCCTCACCCTTAAACAATAGGCTGTGAGTCACCAAAGAAGCACATTGTTTCATTCAGGATGATACTCAGTGACTAATCTGTTATGTGGAGTGGCATGAAGGCATGACGGGGTTGAGTATAAAGATTGCCATCTTTACACTGAGCAGCAATCTTATTTGATATCAACTTCCTTTGAGCTGCTTTGGAAGATAGGACCTGTGGAGTGAGATAGGGCTATTTATCCTTCTGCCATTTTCAAGAGGATTTGCTCCTAATCAACACACTCATCTCATCTCCACAATCCTCTTATCAGCACCCAGGACCTCCACACACTGTAGTGATGGTGCCCATAGATGTGTAGGCTTGAAAAGAGAAGAGGAGCCAAATAATAAAGCTTAAAAAAAAATCACCACCTGCAGGGATTCTGGGTAATCCATGCATGAATTGTGATAGGAATACAACCAGAGATGACAAAACGGAGAAAACAAAACTAACTTTATGTAAACAGGATCTGAATGTGTGGACTGGTGTGTGTGTATAAATAGAACTGTATGTGGGAAAAGAGTGAGTGCTTTTACATAGACATTCAAAGCTTCATTTCAGATTTTATATGTACTAAGTCTGAATGAAATTATGCCATGTAACAGATCTACATAATGCCTTTGTAGCTTGGCTTCGTCCAGCATGCATGTTAACCAGACTACATCTGGCCTGAGCATGCAATGAAAAATATCAAATACTAAGTGTATTTCATCCTTCAATGTATATTAGGGTTTTGTGTTACATATAATGTTGTTAAATTCATGTTTATTGCATTATTTTAGTGTCATGTGTGTTACCATGATGTATTTAGCATTTGTGTGAAAGACACCGTGCACCTTCTATATACTAGTATTTTTTTCACTTGTGTTTTTATGGTGGTATGTGCATCAGTAGGGTGGTATATAATTAACATTATATTTTTTTTGCTGTAAATTTACGTTCAATCCATAAAACCTAAAATCCTGCTACCTAATTTTTTTACAGTAAAATTCTGGAAACCACAGTTGCCGACTATGAAAAACCCTGCTGTAGCACAAAAATGACTGTGCATGTAAACATACTGACTGTTACAATTACAAAAGATTGAACTTTAAAAACTTATAACAGCTCACCTGCGTGATATGCAACAGAACCTCGACTCCATCCTGGATGCCTGTTCTTTGGGTAATCCTGAAAAAAGAGAGGAAGAATGAGTAAACATAAGATACATATTCTAACAATTAGACAAGTAAAACAGTTTGGCTTTACAGATGCCAATGGAAGTGATGGATTTACTCTAAACCAGGGCTCTGAACTGGTTCAAGGAATGAAAACGAAGACCGAAAACAAACGAAATTTTGACAGGAACAGAACTAGAAACAGAAACTAAATCAAATTTTATAGTTTCGAAAATAATCGAAAATTTGAAATGGCCATTAACCAGTTAATAACGCTATTTTATCGTTCCATTTAATATTAGAAATTTGTTGTCAACCAATCAGGAATTCAGATATGCAAATGTGACGCTGACGCATCCAACTTGTGAAATGCCCGTGCTCAGCTGTATATTCATCATAGGTAAGTCGAAATGGCAATGCATTAGAGTTTATCCGAGGATAGTGTAAGATGAATTCAACAGATCACGCGCAACTGCAGCACTTGTGAACGGAGAAAACAGAATTTTTAAATTTTTACAGTTTTGTATGACGTTTTGCTTCTATCTGTATAACCAACCAGCGTTGGTATGACCATATCACGCCAGCGCCTCACGCGCACACAGACACAACATATTTTGTGACATTGCAGCCTGTTCATTATCAAAATAAAATACAGTTAAAGAAACATAAAAAGTTGCACTGCTCTGTTGTACAATCTGTTTGGTTCAGCGGGACCAGCACCTCACTGTGCTGATATAGCCGATGGGAAGGATGATATCGATGCCAGTGAAGTACAAAGCCTTTTACATAATAAATAATATTTTAGCATCCAGATACGTCGCGAATATGGAAATATTTGGATTCGTACCAATCGAGGTAGGCATCAGTTTCACCTTAAATTAATCTGTTTTTGGATTGACATTTTTATAGCCTAAACGCATAGCCTTAACTTTCGAGGATTTGTTGTGGAGATAAGGAAACTACACTGAACAAAATTATACTTTTGTTTTTGCCCCCATTTTTCATGAGCTGAACTCAAAGATCTAAGACTTTTTCTATGTACACAAAAGGCCTATTTCTCTCAAATACTGTTCACAAATCTGTCTAAATCTGTGTTAGTGAGCACTTCTCCTTTGCCGAGATAATCCATCCACCTCACAGGTGTGGCATATCAAGATGCTGATTAGACAGCATGATTATTGCACAGGTGTGCCTTAGGCTGGCCACAATAAAAGGCCACTCGTTCCTCTATTGCCGCGACTCCTGAAAAACGTTTTCATTCTGCGTCACCCTATCAAGAATATTAGAATGATTTCTGAAGGATCATGTGACACTTTATACTGGAGTAATAGCTGATGGAAATTCAGCTTTGCATCACAGAAATAAATTATATTTTAAAGTATATTAAAATAGAAACCATTATTTTATATTGTAATAACATTTTGCAAGATAACTGTTTTTTCTGAATTTTTGATCAAATAAATGCAGGCTTGATGAGCATAAGAGACTTCTTTAAAAAACATTACAAGTCTTACTGATCCCAAACTTTTGAGCGGTAATGTATATGTATATATATATATATATATATATATATATATATAGTGTTTATAATGTTTGTAAACATTTAGCTTTACCGGCATTTTAGCACATTATTTCTGAATGTAGCCTAATAAAATGCGACATGAGCCTACGCAACGTTTTTTCTCTCTCTCAAAACGCAATTTTATACAAATAGCATTTTTTTTTAACAATGCAGCAAACATTTTGAAATATCTTAAAAATACTTGAATGTCTTCAAAGCATTAACAGATTTTTTTTTTCTTTTGTTTAGTAGCCGATAATTAGGCCAAAATCTAGAAAAGATGATGCAGTATTGGCTGTGACTAAGCACAGCGGGTTAAGATACCAGATCTCTTCCTGTTGTTTTTTTCTTCTTTTTTGAGTAGAAAACGCTGTACTTTATTATTATTATTATTAGGCTATTGTTATTATTATTATTATTATTATAGGCAAAGAAAAAGTTTAAAAAATAACATTATTAACTGGTATTTTTTCTAGGCAAACCGGTTTCGGAACGATAATAATACAGAGGAAAGCAGGAACAGAAACGTTAAAATATCGATTCTGCTCGGAGTGAACCGATTGGATTTTTTTTCTTTTCGTTTTCAAGCCCTGCTCTAAACATGAACTTGCCACGCTTTCACTTTTAACAATCTCACTCAACACTTTCATATTAATGTGGTGGAGAGACGACTGAGTTCTACAGCCAGAAAACAATTACAGCATCGCAGCTCATTGTTTTTAGGTTTAAGTGTTGCTGTCACATAGCTGCAAAGGTTATGTTTTTTCATATACACACACACCATGCCAGCAGAAACACAGGGAGCGGCCAATATTTTGATAAGATCTGAGAATGACTTTCCAGTTAATCATCATGGAAAGATGTTTTTGTATTTCTCTGTTGTCATTTGAAGAGACTATTAAAGTCTGTTTGCACCAAAAATCAAATACATATATGCTGTAAAATGTTATGCTAATTCATGTTTGATAATACATTAATTTTCACAATTCAAAATGTATATGTCGAAATTAACATTAATCAAGATACGTCGATAAGATTTTTCAAATGTTTTTTAAAGAAGTATCTTATGATTACCCAGGCTGAATATATTTAAATAAAAAAATGCAGTAAAATCAGTAATATTGTGAAATATTATTATAGTTTAAAATAACTGTTTTCCATTTGAATATATATTAAAATGTAATTTATTTGTGATTAAAGGTGGAATTTTCAGTATCATTACACCAGTCTTCAGTGTCACATCATCCTTCAGAAATCATTCTAATATGCTGATTTGCTGCTCAAGTAGCATTTATTATTATCAATGTTGAAAGCAGATGTGCTGCTTAATATGTTTTTAGAAACTGTGATACATTTTTCTGTTTTTCTTTTTATTCTTGGATGAATATAGTTCAAAAGAACAGCATTTATTTGAATAGAAATCATTTGTAACGCTGTAAGTCTTCACTCTCACTTTTGAGCAATTAATCAATGCATCCTTGTGGAAAAAAGTATTCATTTCTTTAAATAAAATTCATTTCTTTCAAATAAAAAAAGAAAGTCTTAATTAAATGAATAAAAAGAAACTCTTACTGAGCTCAAACTTTTAAACAGCAGTGTTGGTTGACAACTAATTGTAGCCACAGTAACAATATTGTGGATGCTGTAATTAAAAGAGTTACTTATGGAAAGAAATGATACATAACAGTGTGCATTAAAATGCAAAAAGAATATACGTATGACGCATTAAGAATGTCTTTCTTAAAAATAAATACTAATTCCTAAAATAATTTCTTTCCAAAAAAAAAACAATAAAATAAGTGTAACACAGGTGAGCAGAATGCCAGAATTCCATGTGCTGGCATCCTGTAATCTCGTCTAGAGGATTACAAGGAGATCTGTTTTGGTTAAGGCTGATAGAGGGTTGTGTTATGGTTCAAGTCGAGATCTTTTCATCTGTTTATCTAATTAGGAAGAGGAGAAAACATAGACCAGGGGACCAAAACTGTCCTAAAACGGACAGATACTTTAAACAAGTCACAAAGTCCCATTCTAAGAAAGTAAGATGACTCGTTTAACATCCCTCGGTCCGCCGGTGTAGGTGAAGCTCGGGACTAGATGATGAAGTTGTGCAACAGAAAGCACGGGGATGATGATGATACCTTAGGCGAATCTGACAAACAGCTCTAAACGTGTAGAGACAATGGAGTGGCGTTCTCTGGAACGACACATGACAAACTGTTTGCAAACATTACTTAATTTCCAATGAGTTAACATCTGTGCCCTGACACCATGATAAATGATAGCGCATTCCATGCATTCGTATGATTACATCTGTGTTCCATATCATGTACAGCGTATAAACACACAAGCAATCAGACACTTCAGCATGCCACGCAATGCACACAAGCCATCAATCACCCCGCTCGGCCCAACAACCCACATAACAGTTTTTTTTTAATTCGTCAAATGAAATTATATACACCGCATACTCCTGTTTGAGAAGAGGAGCTGTTCATGCATATAGCGTTTTGGCCCCCTGAGGAGACTGCAAAAGCCATTAGAGAGAAGCACTGAGCTTCCAAGAAACACAAACAGTAGCATATGTGTCCACGGCAGAGCGCTATCAGATCCACCCGGGGCTTTTATGTGCGATACTCGAGCTGCCTGCATTTCCACACTGTGGCAAAGACAACAAGTAGCGGAGAGGCTGCCGGTGGAGGCAGATGCACATCTCTACATGGCATATAGTGCAGAGATTAGGCCAAGAGGGTACCTGCCCTCAACCACCACAATACGGGTGCTGGGAATGGCTGTCATCATGAAACAATAAACTATGAGCACTTTTAGAAAGAGTAAAAGTAAAAGCCTAACCAGGGATAAGAGCTATATACTATCTGCTGCTTTATACTGCTTTTAATTTCACCCCTGACAATGTCCAACAGTGTATATGTATATAAATCAAAGGAGAATTCTTGTCCATATTTTCCCTTTTTTTTTTTGGAAAGTGTCAATTCAATCACACTTCAGTTTATGCATTTAATATTGTGTGATAGAAATGGTAGTGGTGGAAATGATATTTAAAGCATTTTTGGAATAAAACAACTAACTTCTCTGTTTTGCTAGCAAGTTTTTATTGCTTTTTAAATACATAAGATTTCCACACATTTTACATAATTTGATCATTATAGCTTGACTGGAATTAAAAATGTTCCAAATGAAATTTGTTTTCTTCACACATCACTTCTCTCTCACGTCTCATATTTCTTCTCAAGAAAGTGCACTAACTTTTGAAAAACTTTACTAGTGGCAAAATTATGCTACAGTTGTGGGACAGTCTCATTAAAAAAAATTAAAAATTCAAATTTAAAAATGTAAAACATTCATAAAATTTGGGATGTATAAGACCACTGGGTCAGCTGGCCAACCAGACTGCGCTTGTCAAAGGAGGGGGCTTTGTTGAAAACGACATG